GCCGTCAGGACCCCGCGTCATCATTTCAGTTCGTGGGTGCTGGGTTAGAGGTATATATGGGTGGTTGTCAAAATTATGGTCCCTTTTTGGGTCCTTATTATAATACGGCACCTATTATTTAGGGTACCCCACAAGGGACCATAATTTTGACAGCTACCCATATGTCTGTACATGGTTCAGGGTGTCGCAGTTCTACATAAGCTTGCCTTATTGGGGGTCATGAGAGAATGGCTTGCGCTGTGGTAGCGACCCGAGATGAAACGGAGCCGCCCTGGAGGGTAGAAAACCCTGTCAAAACCGTATAAATGTTTCTTTCAAACCGGAACCCTGAACCTAAAATCCGAAGCCCTCAACCCTGAACCCTAAACCCTCAACCCTCAACCCCTGAAGCCCGACCCCACCTCCGCCGCAAGCGTATCGGGCTCTTTGGCAGAGCCAGGTTCCGCCCCGACCACCTTACGAAGCTTCCAACTGGATGCCAGCTGTGGCGAGCACGTCGTGGCTTTCTGGCTGCTACCCGAAACCCTAAAGCCCTAAACCTGAAACCTTAAACCTTAAACCCCAAACCGTGTATATACTAGGGAGTCTAGGGTTCAGGTGTTTTGTTGGGGACTCGCCGGTTCAGGGTGTTCGGGGCTCCAGCTAGAGGGTTGAGGGCTTAGGGCTTAGGATCCGAAACCCCGGTTCCCCACTCAGTCTAGGACATTTTCAGGTGGGTAGTTACCGTTATAGGAGCCTTATAGAGGGTCTATATACCTTATGGAAGCCTTATAGAAGCCCTATAGACCCTAAACTCCCCACCTGTAGTTTCCTCTGACTCAGGACTCGATTGGGTTCACGAGCAACAGCCACCTGGGCATGTGGCTTTGCTGCTTCAGTCAGAAGTGCAGGGGGTACGGTCTTGAAAGTTGTGAGTTGCTGTTTGACTCGGGTGGAAGACCAGTCATAGTCATGGCTGAAAACTTTCGAACGTGCAACTGCTATCATGGCCACCACTATAGCAGCTTCATATCGATAAAGACACCACTAGCACCGCCACCAATGCCATCTCAGACTAAATCATAGGGAACGATGACAAGAAGAACAACGAGAGCCTGACCTTGTGATTTGACCAGTGCGATAATGAGGAAAAGGTCACAAGAGGAAAAATAGGTACCAAACCCTGAACCTTACATCCTAAACCCTGCGCCCTAAGACACGACTCCCACTCCTGATACGCACAACAGCAAACCGCCTTCACATTAGTAGTAGTAGTAGTAGTAGTAGTAGTAGTAGTAGTAGCAGCAGTAGTAGTAGTAGTAGTAGTAGTAGCAGCAGCAGCAGGAGTAGTAGTAGTAGTAGTAGTAGTAGTAGTAGTCTTATTGCCCCTACATTACACTCTACGCAACTCTAACCCCCTAACTCTGATCCCCTCAAGCCCGTAACTTGGCCGCAAGTTCGAAAACCACGCCCTAGACCCAAGTCGTTCAGGGTTGAGGGTTCGCTACGGAGCGGACCGAAGTTCTCAATTACAAGACTCGAAAGAGTGATGACAATGAGAATGATAACAACAACAATAGTTATCATAATCGGCACAGTTGCAATAGCAGTAACAATACCAAAAGCATTAGTAACAGCATTAGCAATGGTACTAGTCATACTTAGCAACATATGGGGGTTTCCGAAAATAGGGGATCCTAATATAGTACCCTAAACAATAGGATCCTTATTATAAGGACCCCAAAATAAGGTGTCCCTAGTTTTCGGAAACCCCCATATTGGGCCAACATGTCGAGGTCGGCTACGTGCACTGCTGCCAGCACCTACGGCGCTGCGATGGAGAAGGCCCCCTCTCTTCGGCAACCCAGAGCACTTTTAGGGTTTAGGGTTTAGGGCTTAGGGTTTAGGGCTTGGGGTTTAGGGTTTAGGGTTTAGGGTTTAGGGCTTAGGGCTTCGGGCTTCGGGTTTAGTGTTTAGGGCTTCGGGTTTAGGGTATAAGAGTCTGGAGAAGTATGACCAAAAGTCCCCTTGTGGCCCTTGCATGGTGTCCATAGAGTATACACTGAAGCCTTATTCTGATCTCTAAGGCCTCTTAAAAGGGCACGTTGGGTTAAGGGCTCGAAGATCCCGATCCTGATGGGATACCTTGCTCTAGCATGGAGGGCTGTTCAGCAGCTGCGTCGATTGTTGGGAAACCGCCTTAAGTACTACCTGGACCCTACAAAAGCTACAGTTTTAAAGGACTTCCCTTTGGAAATCATTGTCAGGAACACCAAAAAAGTAGGTTTGGTCAACTCTGATCCGGCCCTCTTCCTCTCCACAACATAAAAGGGGGACCGGCGAAGCACTCGAACAGCTAAGCCCTAGACCCTAAACCCTAAGCCCTAAACCCTAAGCCATATGCCCTAAGCCCTAAACCTTAAGCCCAAAAAAACTCTAAGCCCTAAGCCTAAAGCCCTAAGCCCTAAACCCTAAAACCCTAAACCCTAAGCCCTAAAACAGCTCTCGCTTTCGTCCCAAGACCGCGCAGTTTGGGGACGTCGGCTTCGGATTCCAGGGTTCAAGTTTCAGGTGCAGTTTGATTTGAAGGCTATACGGGTTTAGGGTTTGGGGCTTAGGGTTTAGGGCTTAGGGTTTGCGGCTTAAGGATATGTTCACTGAGGGTGTCGCCGGGCGCAGGATTGCTTCTTCCCCAGGGCCTAGGGTAGATGCTTTGGGGTCGTGGGCCTTTCGCCCAGTCTGAAAACCCGAAGCCCCCAAAGGCACGGAAACCCATAACTCCAAAAGACGCAGGCCGCAAGTCCACAGGGTTTAGGGTTTAGGGTTTAGGGTTTAGGGGTTTAGGGTTTATGGTTTAGGGTTTAGGGGTTTAGGGTTTAGGGTTTAGGGGTTTAGGGTTTAGGGTTTAGCTCCGAAATCCCCAAAGCCCTGAAACACCCAGACGCTACCGCTGCCGGGATCTATCACGATTACCAGCGAAAGCGAGGGGACTTGCATGAGTGCCTTTGTTTGCATTGGGGTTCGGGCTTCATGGTTTCGAAAGCCCAACCCCTAAACCCTAAACTCTAAACCCCTAAACCCCAAAACCCCTAAATCCCTAAACCCTAAACCCTAAATCCCTAAACCCCTAAACCCTAAACCCTAAATCCCTAAACCCTAAACCCTAAACCCCCAAAGTTCGGCGCTTAGGGCCTAAACCCCAAGTCTCTGCGGTTTAGGGTTTCCTGCAATGCCACGGTTTAGGGTTTAGGGTTTAGGGTTTAGGGTTTAGGGTTTAGGGTTTAGGGTTTAGGGTTTAGGGTTTAGGGCAAAAAGCGAAATCTTGAACACCACCCATGGCTGGGGCTGCAGGGTTGAGGGTTTCGGGTGTAGAGCTTAGTTGATGTAGGGGATTTAAACAATTAGCATAGGGTTTGGGGGCAGGTTATACTATATTTCTAATAAGGACCCACCCAAAAAATAGTATTGGTAGCTATTCAGGTCCCTATATTTGCTGACGTTCTTCGCAGTGATTCCCACGAGTAGAGCTGAAGCGGGGTGGCGGCGGGGGCTCGAATCGTGAAGCCATGGCCCAGGTCCGATATAGGGTTTAGGGTTCAGGGTTCAGCCCTAAACCCTAAACCCTAAACTGAGGTTCAGGGTTTAGGGTTTAGGGTTTAGGGTCTCGAGAAACCCTGGGTTCCCCCTGTCAGTGTTGTTGTAATCCTCGTTTTCCGGGCTAGAAGAGGACTCTTATGGGCTCCACTCTCCCATTCGCCAGTAAGAGTACGCTTGGTTTACGGTCCCTCCCTCTCCCTCTCTCTTTCTCCGTGTTCTCATGCTTCTGATGAAAACAAGGATCTCTGTCCTGCGAGGGCTGTTCAGGTCAATGGGTTTGCAGCCGCAATGTAGAAGCCTGAAGAGTCACCAAGATTATTCCTTGGTGCCTTAGGGTTCCTCAGTATAGCTTTAGTTCAACATATGTACCCCACAACCCCATTACAACTGTGAAGGCCCCTATAATGTCATCGACTGCCTGCATACTACACGGTAAGCCGTAAGAAGGGCAGGTCTGCGAAGTTGTCGAGAACAACAGTTTGTGATGTTATCACTGTAGAGCCTTTCATTAAATTTATAGTAAATAAACCCTAAACCCTGAAGCCTAAAAGTCTTCCCCAAGCCAAACTCTAATAAACCCGGCCTCCGATCAAAGCATCCGTCCCAGGCATCGAAGCCAGAAGCCCCACTGAGAGTTAACTCCTCACGGACTGGGGCTTAGGGTTCAAATCCTGAGCTCCAGGCGTTACACCCCCTAAACCCTAAACCCTAAACCCTAAACCCTAAACCCTAAACCCTAAACCCTAAACCCTAAACCCTAAACCCTAAACCCCGAGCTCCAGGCATTCACCGCATCGTCCCATGGCGCTTGTTCATCCGCGAGGGGCACAACAGGTGCTTGGATTACCACCCGGACAACTCGACTCTTGGAGCTTTGAAGTTTTTAATATGATTATTATCATCATTAGTGTTATTATTACTATTATTATTGTTGTTATTTCATCTTTTGTTAAAAAAAACAGAAGGATCCGAGGCTTGGGCTGGGGACTGGTAGTATATTGGGATCCTTTTCATAAGGGTGCCGTACTATATTGGGGATCGAAAAAGGGACCCGAATTTAGGGAACTACCCACGTAATTATGTAGGGTTTCGGGGGCTTAGGCTCAGAGTTGACTACTTCCGCAGGTCTCGCGTTCTCCTAGTCTCTCCTGGAGGGCGATTCATGCACCTATGTTGGGAGGTGGGGGTTGGGTTGCAAGGCAAGCAGAAGCATGAGGAGCAGCAGGGGAAGCAAGGGCAGCTGCGGAGGCAATCGTGGTACCTTGTGCGGTTGTGGTCGCGGTACTGTTGAGTTAGTAGTTGCCGTCGCGATGTTGGCTGGTGATTTGCTGCGTACCATGATTACAATATTCTTGGAGAGGACATCCTTAGCGCTTCTGTGCGATGACCCTGGACTCAACCCCGACGAACCTGCTGCGACCGAGGAACGTGTACATTCACGACTGTCACGACGCCCTCAATCAGCAGTGGTACATGCTCGATGGGAACATCATCTCCAAATGGGATAACAAGTGCTTGGACGCCCACCTTGGCACGAAGAGCCACGCTGGCAGAGCGGGTACGCCTTAATTTAATAGTTTGGACTCGTTTTGAAGTGTGCCCTTTCTTGATTTGGGGGTGCCTTCAGCTTGGATTCTGAGGAATGTTTACATGCACGAGTGCCACGACGGGGCGAACCAGAAGTGGTATTGGGATGAGGACACGGCTCAGATTCGAAGCGAACACGACCACAGGCACTGGTCGCATACTTTGCTTAGTGCTAAGGGTCCGAAAACTTGAACGTGCACACAGTCTTCTGCGGTTTACAGAGAAAGATACAAGTGTCCAGGTGTTTGGACATGGCTCTGGATGGTTCCCGCAACATCTACATGCACCCTTGCCACAACGGCAACAATCAGAAATTCGAGACTCGGGAACAAGAGGAAGGCCCTAACCCTTAAGGGTTTAGGGCTTAGGGTTTAATGTAGGGGTTCCTTATTATGATTATAGTAGAATGGGACCCAAAACCCTATTCTAATTATTAAGGCCCCGATATTAGGGTTTTAGGGTTAAGCCCACCTAAACCCTAAACCCTAAACCCTAAACCCTAAACCCTAAACCCTAAACCCTAAACCCTAAACCCTAAACACGTGGGTTTCCGACTTGGGAGGCGAACCTCTTTCTCAGTCAAAGCCGTGGGGGTTTTCTTGAAAAGGAGTTTTGGGTTTTAGGGTTTTGGGGGTCCCTTAAAGGGGTCTCTAAGGATCTGCAAGGGTCTAGTGACAAGGGTTCAGGGTTTAGGGGGGGTTTTAGGGTTGGGGGTCAGGGGGTTTATAGGGCTCTTCAGGGTTTGAAAAGCTGTCCTACGATTTGTCAGTTTACTAGGGCTTCCAGCAAGCAATCTCTTGATTTGGTTGTGGTCTGGGCCCGACAAGGCACGGGTGAATTACAATCTCTCAACCCCACACCGTGGTTTTAACTAGTCTGAAATGCCCACTGGCGGAACACGGAACACCTTCTCCTGCGGTTATAATAAGTATAGGCTTCAAGTCAAGAGTCAGAAGGAGTAGCTTTGTCTGGGATGGCGCATCATAGTTCGCAGAGCACCGAGCACTCGAGAGACCTGTGTTGCACAACTTTCGCTGCACACCCTCAACCCTAAACCCTCAACCCTAAGCCCTAAACCGCTAAGCCCTAAGCCTCGCAGCCCTGAAACCTAGCCTATATATTCTTTGTTTATACCAGCATCGCATCTGGAAACGAGCCGAGCAAATTAAGTAAAACTGAACCGAGCAACACATTGGGGTTTAGGGGTTTAGGGTTTCGGGTAACCCTAAACCCTAAACCCGTCATAGCGCCCGTCATAGCGCAAGCAACCTCAAGCAGCCGCCAAGCCACCAAAAGATCGAACCCTGAAGCCTCAACTACGCCCGAAGGCGCCAAACCCGAAGCCCCGAACCCGAAGCCGCCAAGCCCGAAGGGCAGACTATAACATAAGTATGTGCGGACTATAAAGGGCTAGTATTCGTAGTATGATCGTAATGTGATTAATGACTAATCGTTCAGATCCCTTGGTAACCCCCAAGGGCCCTAAACTCCAAGGCCCTAACCGTACACAAAATTCCTGAAGCCTCAGCCCCGAACCCTACTGAACCTGAACCGTGGCTAGTCAAGCTTCCAAGCATAATTTCGAAAGCCTAACTAATGACGAAGGTTCTTCCTGACGGTTCCTTACTATAAGCACCAGAACCCTATTCGAATTGTTGAGGCCACCCATTGGTCAGAGCCTGTCTTTTAAGTAGATCCCTTATCAACCCCCAAAGGAGCTCTCTTCCATTTGTTAAGGCCGCCACAAACCCCTAAATCCTAAACCGCCTAAACCTAAGAGATCCCCAAACCTAAGAGATCCCCAAACCCTAAACCCTGAAGCCTAAACCCTGAATCCTAAAGCCACGGTATAGGGGCCTCAATAGTTACCAATACTATTTTGGAGGGGTTCCTTATTATATAGTATAATCTACCTCAAGAACCTGTTCTAATTATTAATTAAGGCCCCTACATTAACCCAAAAACCGTAGCTGCCAAGACCCAGGATCGAAACGACTTTGCCTCGAACGCCTTCACGATGGCTTTGCACCTGGAATGTAGTGCCACCCGTCTATGTCCTTGTTTTTATGGGTTCAGGCTGTAGGGTTTACGGGTCAGAACTTTGGGTTAGGGTTTTCGGGAGACGGGTTCGACTGTGAATCAGGGATGTGAAGCTGATGATGCTGCTGATGGTGATGGGTTTAGGGTTTAGGGTTTAGGATTTAGGGTTTAGGGTTTAGGGTTGGTGATGGTGATGTATGACGTACCGAACTTGACGAAGATGCTTGGTCACGGTGCGTTTGACAAGTGTGACTGTCCTCATTCTTCCCAAGGCTGGTGGTGTCAGTCTGTGTGAGTGTGTTTAGGGTTTAGGGTTTAGGGTTTAGGGTTTAGGGGTGTGTGTGTGTGCAGTATGCCCTCAACCCTACACCCTTGGTCCTTGGGTCTGTTGGCCCGCCCAATACGGGCTGGGCGAGAGGCTTTGTGCTGACACGAAAAGGGGGCCCTTAACACCAGAAAACCAGGTGCTCAGCAAGACTTGTTCTTGTTGTGGTTTGGCCATTGCGGCCAAACGGTCACCTATGACATGGAAACGTACCTCGACATGACAGTCCAGAAGTACTGCGATATTACGGGGTTCGATCCGAGCAAATTCAAGACTGTGACGGCGCCTAGTCCTGCAGAAGAGACAAAGCATCATCCTGGACGGGCACCGGCAAGCAAGGATAAATGTCATCGATGCACGGGGTGTGGCAACAGCATGCCTGTTCACGCGGATGGTCGCCTTATGCCGTCTCCACCTATTCCTAAGGGCCCAGTGGAAGTATGCCGTTTGAGCTTCTTTCGAGTTTCTTTCGGAAACGCCTCCCGAAAAACCTAAACCAACAACACTGTTTAAACTTTAGTTTAAGCATCCTAGACTCTCAGAGCCCTAGAAACCTCAGGTCCTAACGCCAACCATGCACGAGCCTAAACTCTAAAGCCCCAAAGCCCCCCCAAAACCCCAAACCCCTGAAGCACCAAAACCCTACAATCTCAAACCCAAAAACCCTAAAACCCGAAAGCCTTAACCATCTTAAAGCCCTAAACCCAAAAGCCCTAACGTTGCAACTAGGAGTCGGAGAACGAGGAGATTACCGTGGAGCCGATTGGGGGAGAGCCCAAGTTCAAGCTCAGGAGCATTGGGCATTTAGGGTTCAGGGTTTAGGGTTTAAGATAGTGGCGGTGCCGAGGTGCTACGCAGCCGAGCGCCGAGCAGACTTGGCGTCGCTCGTCGTCGCTCGGCGCGCTCGCGTCGTCGCTCGGCGCGCTCGCGTCGTCGCTCGGCCCTCTGTGCTAACCACAAAGCAGGGGTGCCACTGGCACTATACCCTCGGAGTTCAATGGGGGATATACGGTCCATGGCACCCTCGGAGTTCGGTCGCTCGGCACGCTAGGGCGCCGCTCGGCGCTTGGCGTGGCTCGGTGCACTCGGCGCTCGGCGGCGCTCGTCGTCGCTTGTCGTCGCTCGACGTTCGGCATCGCTCGGCACTTGTCCGCGCTTAGCTTGGGTGTCGGACGCCGCTGGTTTGTGCTCGGTATCGGTTGATGCTCGGCGTCGCTCGGCGCTCGGCGTCGCTCGGCACGATTTCGATTTCACGACGAGCCTCCCGACGCACGCGGGTTTAGGGTTCAGGGTTGTTGGGCTTTTTGGGACTTGCGGCCTGTAGGGTTTTGGTAAGGGCCTAGTGTACAGGGCTTCGTTTACGGTTCTTGGGTTTAGGACTAAGGTATTTTTGTGTTTTTGGGTTTTAGGGTTTTTAGGGTTTATCGGGCTTTAGGGCTTAGTGTTTAGGGTTTAGGGTTTAGTTTTCGGGGAGTAGTTGCCCTGCGTGCCCAGAGATTCCAAAATCTAATAATTACTGGGACCTATACGGTTTCTCATGCCCGTATTTAGGTGGTTGAGAGCCTTTGTTTGAGGGTTTGAGTAGGTTGGGAGGATTTGAAAAAGCTGTTTACAAAGCCTCTATTTCAGGCATATCCCCTACACTGTAGGGGATCCTGGTTGTGATGTGGAGTATATTCCTTCCTTACGGGGCTTGGGAATCACTCTGGGTGTTCTCAGAGATTCAGCTGAATACGGAAGGGCCGCCCATATTCATAATCCTGTTTTGACTATGACGAGCCCTGTATTGCTTATCCAGTCCCTGGTGTTAATCCGCTGGCGACATGGAAGTGTTGCTACGCTACTGAGCATTCGTGATATTTCCGCCTCCGAAGCCCCCACGCCCTGAATCCACCAGGCGCCTGTCCACGATCTCCCCGAAAAGGGGATATAGACTACATCATAGGATCCTCACTATCAGGAGCTCGAGACGAAGTAGCTATGTTTGAAGCCGACAAACCCGTCTACAATTTTCTCGACTCTTGAAAAGCCTTATGAACAAACGCCGAAGTCCAAAGACCCTCATTTCAAGAAGCCCAGCTTTTGGTCCGCCTGCGGATCTGCAGGCGTAGCCCGCACACGCTTCCAGGGGACTTCCGATGGGACAACAACGACAAGCGGGGGCCCTAAGCCTTAAACCCCAGACAGTTCAGGGGTTGGAGCTACTGAGGTTGCTAACATGCCTGACTCAGCAATCCCAGTCTTTCCCTGGGAACGGTATGCCTTTATAGACACACGCTACATCTAAACCCTAAGCCCTAAACCCCAAACCCGTGCTTCTTCGGCTCGAAGCTTCGGGCTTACAGTATGGGCTAGTCTAGGCTTAAGGGCTTTGATATTCGCGGTCCTCGACCTAAGGGGCTCGTGTGCAGGGTGGGGTGTGCCTCTGTAGGTAACGAATAGCTTTCTTCTGAAGAAACATTGTGTAGGGCCTTAGGGCCTAGGGTTAAGGAGAGTTTAGGGTTCAGGGTGTCGGGGTTGTACTTGATGAATGATTTGAAAGAGGGTCTTTGGGGCTCCAAGGTGTGGAGTGCGTGCTGGTTGAGGTCCTACATTGAGTTCTCTGATCTTCTGCAACTTATACAGAGGGTTGAGGATTCAGGGTTTAGGGAAGAAGGCTGAATGCTTCTCATCACCCAGTCTCCAAATTTTCAATCCCAAACAGCCATTATGGGGTTTCAGGCTCCTGCTTCCAGAAGGTGAGGTGCTGTCTTTCTCTGTTGAAAAGCCTGAAGCGACCAGGAAGATCATCAATGCCGGCAATGGCAAATGCCTCGAAGCACGTGGCCGCGGACGTGTGGAGGAGGTCTCCTGCACCCAGCGCAGCATGGCCGACTTCAGACAGAGTTGTGGGCAGTTGTGGGTTCATGGCCGAACGGGTTTCGGGTGTTGAGGTCTCAGGGCGGGGGAGGCCTTTTGGGGGAGGTGGATGTATTCTACTGAGGATATTCCTTGGGCCTGAGTGGTTTTGGTGAAGGGGCTTTGCTTTTGTGCTGACAACGTGAGTCTACTGTAGATTATGCACGTGTAAAGTATTGTCCCCTTGTGTAGCTTATGGATGACCGCTGCTACTAGTGCTCTAACTGGAAAAGGATCCTTCGCTGCCATGGCATGGTAATCCAGTTAACACTTAACGGATATATCAGTGCGTGTGAGATCTCAGTGGTATTCCCCAACTATA